AAAAAAAAAAAAAAAAAAAAATCCAAACCCTTGGTATGTGAAAAGCATTATGACGTCATGTCCAGATTTGTTTAATTTATGCATAAATAAGCTTCAAACCCTTTCAAAGTCCATATATTTACCTCAGCTTATCTTTTCTCCATGGTCTTCCTAATTTTTCAGCTGAAGAGTTTATGCTAAACCTGCTAAGCAGCAGCAAATAATTCTTAAGTAATCATTCACTTGGAATTTATTCTAGTGTTGGCCTTTGTTGGTGGTATTAGATAACTTCAATATTCTGTGATTCTCTAGCACTTAATTGGAATACCAGGTTGTGAGAGATATGCTGTATTTTCCTATTTCTGAAGGAGATGTATCAGACTGTTAAAATGAGCATAGATTCTATCAGTCACTGTGAGCCTTACTCCACCCTAAAATCTGGCAGTCACGTGTCCTTTGTGGTCTTGGCTTCTGCTCCTCTGTGCATACCTGACTTCTGCAGCCTGGTGCTTTGCTCCAGCTGGTTCTGACCCCTTCTGCCCTCTGGAAGTGGTCTGACCCAGCCCCTATTCTTTCAGCAATCAGTTTAGTTGAGTATCTAAGCCACACCCTGAGGTTGGAATAACTCTATTCAAACCTCAGTTCTACACTTTCTAACTGATAACTTTAGACATTTAATCTCTATGTGTTCCATCATAAAATGTAAATAGTACTAACACTTCATGAAGTTATTGGTGTATTAGTTATAGTGTAGACATTTTCCTTTTAAGGGATCCAGGAAAGCACCCACAGGTTATCTGGAGCAGACTATTTCCTGAGTAGTTTTCATCATTTGACACCTATGGTGAATTAGTCAAGTGAATTTCCATGTATTTTTTTTTATGGGATATTAAAGGCAACTAATCACTTCTCGGCCTTTTGGCTAAGATCAAGTGTAGTAAAGGAAACTATAGTTGCTCTGGAACATGTTATAAGCAACTTCTATTCTTTTGCAACATATTCACTGATCCCTAGTCAAATCCAAAATGGTGACCAAGTGATTTTTATAAAGAATTTTTGTATATTACGCACCTTTATATGCCACACACTTTTTGGGGGGGGGGTAAAGAGGGGACCGATGAGTCTACTGTGATGACCAAGAAAGCAGGCCCTTGCTCTCATGAGGCTCATACCCTAGTAGAGGAAGCAATTAAATAAGTATAATTACAGTTGGCAATAAAGGTAGGAAGGACTTTGATGAAGAGTGTTAAGGGTCACCCTTGTGTTAGGTGAGCACTGGAGCCTTTCTGAGGAGGGGACCTCTGAGTTAGGGCTGAGGAGAAGACTTCAGGGATGTGAAGGGCCGTGAGAAAGGGCATTAAAAAGAGTATGACTGCAGGAAAGCAGAAATGAGGCCAGTGTGGTGGGAGAGGGGAGATAGAAAGGTGGATCAGGTTGAAAGGGGCCCAAGAGTGTGTGTCCCTGTGGGACAGAGACAGAAGTCATTCTAAATCCATTGGCAATCCAGATGCATTTTTTTTTTTTTTTAAAGATTTATTTATTTGTGCATACAGAACTGGGGTACAGGCCAGAGGCTCAGGGGCGGCGAGAGGCTTCACCAGAGACAGAGTGGGGAGCAGAACAGGCAGATCGACGAAGTACACTGCTGAGGGGAGCAGCGGGCGGGTCAGGAGAGGTCTGCTGCACCATGTGGTCACCTCCGGGGCAGGCAGGGATCGAACTCATGCGGAAGTGGCTTTAGATTCTCAGTGCTGTGCTTTAACCCGCTGCGCCACCAGGGAGGGCCCAGATGCATTTTTTTAATAATTGTTTTTTTTTCTGGTAAAGAGATACATAACAAAAAAAGTTACCATTTTGACCATTTAAACATGTTTGGTTCAGTGGTTTAAGTACATTCACATTACTGGGCAACTATACCATCCATCACTGGTCATTTCAGAACTTATTTCATCTTGCAGAACTGAAACTGTATCCAGATCTGTATGGATCTGTTTTAAGCAACTCCCCCATTCTTTGCTTCCCAAACCCCACATCCACCAGTTTGTTTTCTTTGTATATGAATTTGACTACACTGGGTACCTCAAATAAGAGGAATCATAGTATTTATCATTTTGTGAATGGTTTAGTTTACTAAGCCTAATGTCTTCAGTTCATCCATGTTGGAGCACATATCAAAATGTCCTTCCTTTTCAGGATTCAGTAATACGCTTTTGTGTGGAAACATCACATTTTGTTCATCTGTTCAGTGTGATGACCAGTGTTAAGCAGAGGAGTTACAAGGTTTATCTGTCCAATGAGCTACTGGCCATTGATTTGGCATAGTATATAATTTAATTTGTTCTAATGAAAAAGAAAATTGTCTCCCATAGGAAAGGAGAATAACTATATGTAGAGGTCTAAAGTTAGCCTTGAACCAACAAATTATGGAATGATGAGCATTAAACTTGAGTATCATTATCTGGAGCTTTGTTTTGCTGCTCCATCTCCAGAGATTGATTTAGTAGGTCTGGGGTTCCTGACTATTTACATGTCTGGCACCCGTAATCCAGATGATATTGACTGGCTGGTCTGAGGTGGCCACAGTTTGAGATCCTGTATTCTATGATATCCTAACCATCAAATAATTTAGTAATTTACTTGATCCTGAGATTATGACAAAATATTTTTCTACCATGGTATTACATGGTTTATTGAAACTTGTTTTAATTACTGTTGAATATAGTTGATGGAAATGCCTTAATATATTATTTGTTATCGTATTTATTATGGTTTTGTCCTTTTGTGATAGGGATGAGTCTGTCAATGTGACAGATTTTAAGTCAAGCTGGAGAAATGGAATGGCTTTTTTGGCTGTCATTCATGCCTTGCGACCAGACCTAATTGACATGAAGAGTGTGAAGCATCGATCCAACAAAGACAATCTGCAAGAGGCCTTCAGAATTGCAGAACAAGAATTAAAAATCCCCAAACTGCTGGAACCAGAAGGTAAACAAGCATTTTTTTTTTTTTAGAAAATGATGTTGTCCAATGTGAAGTTGATTCAAAAATAGTATCCATATATAAACAAGCAGGATTATATTTTCATCCTGGAGGGCTGAACTTAAATGCTTGATTAAATCTCATGAAATTAAGAATCCCTACCAATTAGTTAGCCTCAGAAATTGCAGGGATGCTGCTACAGCTGAAAGCAAACAATGCTGTTGTGGGGAATAATTTGAGCCTTCGTTTTAATATCCTTCTATTGTGTTCTCCTTAATTCTGTTCTAAAATATCTTGAGCAAGACATTTTCTTTGAGCTGTTTCTTTTTCTCCCCTTTCCCACTCCCTCCCTTTTGTTAAAGTGGAACCTCTATGAGAATCAAGACAGATTTTTCTATCCCTATACGATTGGCTCAGCTTTGCTTTTGATTATGTTCAATCAAGTTGTGTTAAAAACAACAGCAAACAACCTAAATACTGGTTGTATTCAAAGAGATAATAATCAGGTTATCATTCTAGCTTCATAAAATTAAAGTGAAGTAATTGAATTCTTTGCAAAAGCACTTTATTTTGGATTGCATTGTTTCATGATATAACAAAGCTTAAATTAAAAAGAGCCCAATAAGGTGATAAAAGAGGCTTAAGGGGTCAGGAAAGTCATAATGCAAAACCAGTCAAGAGATACAAATTCCAGTCTCAGCTCAATAGCCAGGATGTGTAGGTATATGTTTAATGACTGGGTCTCCAAAACAATGTGTGTGCACACATGCTACTAAAATTTTTCATGGTATAGAAGATGTGTAGCCGACAACTTAAAAATCCTAAATACGAGATACTTTATTATAAATTTCATACAGCCCAGAAATGCTTTTGTTGATTTTCGCCAAACACTTGTATCCATCTGTAGCCGCTTAATAATTGCAATTACTGAACAAGTTCTGACATGATTGTTGGTGAATAATTTCCTTTAGGTTAATGAGTAAATGGAACAGCAAAGAGGTATGTCAGAACTTTTATTGTTCTTCAATGACACGAATAACTTTTTGCTAAATAATACAGAAAGAATATTTCATTAATTTTTTTTGGTGCTATTTACAGTTTAACAGCTATAGACAGGATATAATCTTAAAGATTAACCCTGCATTATTAATAATTTTGGAGCAGTCAACAAATAACAAATCAGATCCTCACTTGCTGATGTTTTTGTGGTGTCAGTACTACTCTCATGACTGACGGGAGCTGAGCACAGAGTTGGGAGAAGGTGGACACACTTTGTATGTTATTTCTCCGAGACAGATATAATAGACATAAATAACCTGAAAAACACAGTGTAGGGTAGATGGAAGCTGTAGGTTGTTTCCAGGCTCCCGCCATTACAATCAATGATTGACACCTGTGGTCTTACACGAGTGCCCAGTGGCAGCACCTGAAGTGTGTGTGGGCGTGTGTGAGTGGGTACACCTGAGCCTGGAGGCCGAGTATATAAGGGCGGCAGCAGGGCGGAGGAGAGGCAGAGAGCTGTAGAGAGCAGCGGAGAGACCACAGAGAAGCCAGAGAGCCCTGAAAGAGCGAAGGTTCGTCTGGGGCTAGGAGGTCCCGGCCCCCTGCTGCACCTGGTTCTCACTACAAACGGTGTAGGAAGATCATTAAAAGCTTGAGAACTCCTTTCACTCATCTGCTGGGTACACAGAGAATATGCTCTGTGCCTTGCTGCACCTCACTGTAGGTAACAGTACATTGTAGTAAAAGACTTGGGAAGTGATGAGTTTTGAATATTTATTACCTTTGTTTTGGCTTATGTGTAGTTTTGATATAATTTATTCAATTGTACTTTTATATGATTTTTGATGCTGGCTATGTTTATCAACTGGCTTACAAAACTGCTGAAAATCTAGCCATCAGCCTTCAGGCTGGTCTGAGCAGCCAGCTCCAGAATACCACCCAGTGGCTGGCTTGTCATTTAATCTTTTTGGCTTTGAGCAGCTTTATTTTCATATAGTTCACAGACCACACAATTTACTCCATTTAAGTGGACTACCCAATGTTTTTGAGTATATTCACAAATTCTTGGAACCATCCTCACAGTCAATTTTGGAATTTTTTTAACACTCCAAGAAAAACAGCAGTCCCTCCCTATGACCCACAGGCTCCTATGCCTCCGTTCGCCTCACACCAGCCCTCAGCAGCCACTACTCTTTTCTGTTGCTGTGTATTTGCCAATTCTGGGCATTTCATGTAAATAGAATCACCTGATACCTGTGGTCTTCTGTCTGTGGCTTCATTTTATCAAAAGACTAGCTTTACACTTATGGAAAAATGGGATGGTACAATAAATTTTTATATACTTCACAGCATTTTCCTCACTTGCTATCATCAATGAACCAACATAGATACTGTTACAGAAGGTTGTACTTGATTCACAGTGCCTTCATTTTACCTTGCGCCATCTTACCATCAGAGTCCAGTACTGAGAATACTACACACAGTTGTGTTGCTTGGGTTCCTCTTTGTGACAATTGTCTCAGATGGTTTTGTTTTGAATGAATTTGACAGTTTTGAGAACCACTGGTCAGGTATTTTGTAGGATATTCTTTTACTGGAATTGGGGTGGATGTTTGTTTTCATATTAGTCAGAGGTGATGAGTTTTTGGCAGGAGGACCACAACGCTGAAGTGCCATTCTCATGACCTCATCAAGGGAACACATTGTTGCTATGATGTTGATGTTGACCTTCATGGTGTAGCTAAGGTCGCATTTGTCAGGTTTCTCCCTGTGAAGTCACTCTTTAATGCCTCTCTTTCTGTATTGTACTCTCTGCAGGAAAGTCATTATCCAGAGACCACCCTGGGCAAGTCAGCTACAGAAAAAATTTGGAATTCTTAACAGATTTGCCTGTCTCAACCTTTCATTCATATACTCAACCTTTTTCTTAATATCAATATGGCCTCATGAATATTTTATCTATTTTGGTTTGCAGTCCAGTGCTGCTTAGTTTATTTTATTGACCAAGTGTAATTTTTTTTTAACTTACTTTCAATACTTTACTTTGTTTTATCAAGGTAGCATTGGTTTACAACATTGGATTTAGAGGTGTAGGATTTCCCCTCCAGGTGTTGTTGTCATACCACACCCATCCTTTGTGTCCCTCCCCCCTTTGTTTTCTCAAAATTTTTTTGACTCAGTGTGTCAGCCCCTGGACCTCTTGGAGTGGGCCCCTGTCTCCTTTGACATAGCCCCTCACCGTGGGGTTTCCTCTTGTGCTTTGAGCACATCTGTACTTTTGGGCACTGTAAGGCATCCTTGCTCCTCTTTTCTATTTCCTGTCTGTACCCTGGAATCAGTTTTTCAAGAAGTCCTCGTTGCTTTTATTGAGAAACCACGACCTGCGTGCTAGGTTTACTCATTGCATCTGGTATCTCAGTTGATTAGATAATAGTTATGAGTTCATACTTAGCCTAAGCATCCATAGTTCTAGATTAATCAGTAGCTTTACAGCTACTTTGGCTTATGTGGCTTGTTACTAATTTTTGTTAACGTTCCCTCCATCTTCTTCTTTGACCTGCCCTCCCCTCTTCTCTTTCTTTCTTTTTCTTTATTATCTTTTTGTTTTCTTTATTGTCTTCCATGCTTTGCTCTATTTCCTATTTGTTTTATCTTTTTTCTTACTATTTCTATCATTTTGTAGTTTTCCAAATCTTTATTATTAGTATAAAATTTTTCTCTTTTAGCTCATGAATCTAACTAGGCAGCTAATGGAATAGATGATATAATGAAATAAAATGTCCACTGTCTAAATTACTGTCCATATTCATTTTATTTCTTTTTCACAATTTATTTTAAATAGCTTAAATAGTAGCTCAATGTGCATAGGGGCTATTTATGCAAACCAAATACCATGGTCATATTTGAGTAAGGGAATTATCTTTGACACAATTTTGTTACAATATTTCATCATTATATATAGAGCTTCACATACAATGAGAAGTTTTTAAAAAGAAATGAGTCGTCGATCTCACTCGTGTACCTCTTAATATTTATTATTTTTCAATGAAACAGAATAAGATTCTTCCTTTATTGAAACTTCACACCCAGTTTTTCATTGCTACATTTTTCATGCTTACTACCTTGAATTTATTATTTAGCTATAGATTAGATTCACTTTCTCCCTTAGCTGGCATAGGGCATTCATTTGGCCCAGTTAACATCTTTGCTAAAGCATGCATTGTATGTTGTAGTCCTTGCCTGTTTTTCTCCTAACTGCAAGCTCATTGAGGGACAGATAATGTCTTAATGCAGATACATCTGTTCAAGTATCCAGCATCTATTGTTGAATGGATAAAAGGATTGAAATAGAAGAGCAAGGATAGGACCTTGCATGTCCTGTATCTCCTGCTTGAGCCTCCATTTGTTGGCTCACTATAAATATTTGTTGAATTGAGTATAACTTAATAAACAGAGATTTCCTTTTCAGTAATCTTCATTAGTTGTTTTAACAGCATACCAAGAGAGATTCCTAAATTATATGATCATTTGTATGTATCTTGCAAACCCTGCTTTGTGATTTTTGTGACCTATTTAATTTATTATCTGCCTAGAGAAGTTCTACACTTCAGAAATTTTTATAAAATTTTCACTTTGTTTAATTTAGCATTTTTCAAATTTATTTCACTTTGGACTATTTTAATGCAACATAAATCTTGGCCCATAGAATCTCTCTCGCTCGCTCTCTCTCTCTCTGAATGACAAAAATCTTTTGGTTGTCTTGGACAATTTTTCCTTGCATATATACTTTTGGAAATGTTTACTACACAGAACTGAGACCAGTGTGCCAGGAATGAAGTGCAGCTGCTCTATGTTCCTACTCTCTTGGCATTTCTGCACTATGTCTCTAGAAAGAAGTACTTTGCTTTCTTTTTCTACATGAAGCATTCATAGTGACATTTTATTATTTGGAAACTGAGGGTGTGCACATATAATTGCCAGGATTCAGCCAGCTTTGGCTGACTCTAGATTTAAGCTCTTTACAACTCTCCGGTCTTGGAGCAAGTGATCAGTGATTAGATGGATGATCAACTACCTTGGTTCATTGTAAGATTGTCCCATGGCAGAGCCTGTTTCTGAATATTAATTACAGCAAATCATACCTGTAGCTAACTGAGAGTGTGGCATATCTTGCAGATGTGGATGTTGTTAATCCTGATGAAAAGTCAATCATGACCTATGTGGCACAGTTCCTGCAGTATTCAAAGGGTAAACTTGGGACTGGAGGTCAAGCTCAGGTATGTCTCAAATACAAATCAAGTTCATTTTTGTTGTATTCTATTAATGCTTAATTTTTTAAATGAGCTTTTAATTTAACAAATAATATAATTACAATTAACAATTTGCATACAGGACTTAAACAGTCTTGTAAGTTTTGGTAAATGTACACCATGTAAATCATACTCTAATCATGCTATAAAACATTTCCATTGTTTGTAATATTCTATTGTATTTCTTTTCTGTTTGTACTCCATTTTAAGCAAAATGTTTCTTTCACTTTGGTCTAGTTGTACTTGTTCTTATTTTTTAAAAAGTTAAAAGTGGTAATTTATAAAACTTTGCAAAATTATCTACAACTTTTAGATAGGTACTATATATATGGTACAAATTAAATTTAGCAGACTTACAAAATTCTAGAGACATTCAATTTTTATCTATTTTAATGTTTAGGAATGTTATTAGAATACAATTCATAGACTATAAAATTCAACCATCTCAATTTTATTCAGTGGATTTTATATCAGTGTATTTATATCATTAGACAACTCTTAACCACCATCTAATTTTAGCATATTTCCTTTTTCTGTTCTTGAACTTTATGTAACTGGAATCATATAATTCATATAAGTGAAAACTGTGTTCTGGTCTCTCTGTCTCTCTATACACACACACACACGTTACATATCATTGTTCATTATTTTGTTCATTATTTCTCCTTTCAGGTGTAGTACCGATAAAATTCCCACCAACAATTCACCCATGAACCATCACCATAGTTCCTTGTGCTCCAGTTCTCTAATCTTAATCCTTGTTTGTTGAGATACTCTTAAAACACCATCACATTACAATTTGATTTTTCATTTTTCCTTTGACTTTGAACCAGTTACACAATGTATTATAAGTGGAAATTTCAAAAGTATAACTGAACTGGAAAGAAACATTTATTCTGCTTTGAGGAAGATGAGTAAATGCTAGTAAATGGTTTTGAATATTCTAAAATGTATTTAAGCTACTTTCTCAGACATGTTTGCATGCAATCACATTTTCATATTTTATTTGACAAATTAAGGCCTATGTTTTTCCAACTGTTATGTTTGAGGCAGCAAGTCAGATTATTGCTGACTCTGGGAAAAACATTCAAGCTGTGTCAGACTTATAAGTCAGTTCAATTATTTCTGACCTGCTGAGGAATTACTCTTTCCTAATTAATTTTCATAGCAAAAAACACAATTAGAGATTCACCTATCCATGAAATTGGATGTAAAAATATGTAAAAAAACACAGCTGTTTAATAGAAGAGAACAGTAAACGAGGTTGAATGAGGGTGGACTTAAGATGTAGTAGTCTTTTGTTTTATCTCCCTCACAATGAAATTTGCTTCCAAATGTAACAAGCTTGCCACTTAAGCAATTTAAAAGAAAAATAATTGTTTTTCAGTTTCATATGATAACATGAACAAATCCTTTAGTAATGTTATGTTTAGCGTCTTTCAGTATGTTTTGGATGTCACTTTATTTGGTTGGTGTGAAAAATTTCTGAATCAACCCACTTGTGAATTTATTGGAAAGCAGTATTCAGAAATGAGTAATTTAGAACTCATATCTCTAAAATTGAAGGATAATGGAAATGTATAAGCCAGAAAATTAGGGGCTTGCTTACCATGTTTCTTTAGCATATTATCATGTTCAAATGCTAGTTTCAATCCATTTTAAGGCTTAAAGTGTTGCGTGAACAAGCAAAATTCCTCTTTAGCACATTGAGTCATTGGTGTGTAAGGACTGCATTATGTAATGTTACTGATGTTTGAAGTTGTTAATTTTATTGCTAAAAAAAATTACCAGGTCTATTTATGATAGAGACTTAAGGGGTGTGTGTGTGTGTGTGTGTGTGTGTGTGTGTGTCTGTCTGTCTGTCTGTCTGTCTGTCTGTCTGTCTGTCTGTCTGTCTGTGTGAATTACAGGAAAAGACAAAAGAAGCTTTGGTCTGGTTAACTCAACAAGAGGAAAAACTACAGAATGCACAAAAGGATTCAGACAATGAAACCTACTCTATAAAGTCTGAAGTAAGTATGACCTTAAGCCAAAATATATTTGTAGTTTACTCTTAGGGATCTATTTGGGAAGAAAATAAACTTTCTAACTTAAATTATTTAAATGGTAAATTAATTCAAGATTTAAGGTTGAATTCTAGGACTGCTTCTCATGGTTTAATGTAACCTAGTAATCGTGTTAATAAACAGATTCTGAGTCAGTAGTTCTGAGGTAGGACCTGAGAGTTTCCATTCATAACTCACTTGCAGGTGATGTTGATGCTGCCAGTCCTTTTAAGTAGCCTAAACACAAGGTTTTAGAGTGGGGATTGGCTATCTGTGGTCTGTGGGCCTCACCACCTGGTTTTATAAATACAAGATTATTGGATCCTCTGCCTACTTAGGTTCTGCCTATGGTGGCTTCCACACTATAGTCCCAGAGTTGAAATATTCTAATACCCCATGTAGCCCACAAAATCTGAGGTATTTACTGTTTGACCCTTACAGTAAAGTGTCCCAATCACTGGTCTAGAGTAGTGCCTGCTTTTCAGAATTAATATTGAGTGAAAGAGTAATCAGGAATGGAATGAGGCCATCCAAGATTAGAGTATGGGGCCTCAACCATGCAGTCCCTGGAGGAATAATGACAACTGTTATTGTGACCATATATTGACATTTTGCTTTGTACCAGATACCTTGTAGACAAGCTTTTTGCATGTTACAACATCTTGTAGAGAATGGTATTGTTATTCCAGTTTTATAGATGAGGGCAAGACTTAGGGGGGACAGGTAATTATCTTTGGTTACATAGCTACTTGAAAGGTAGGGATGGGATCTGAAATACAAGTCTGACTAAGAGCCCTAGCTTTCTTTCTGTCCAGATGCTTCTCAGGATAAGCAGTGATTTCCCATTCCCATACATATTGAAAGAGACTAACAGGAGCCAAAATGAGTGTTCCACAGTCCTGTTCCTTAGAACCCACTATCTATGAAAACTTGTGCTCCCCACCATTGTCTTTCCAAGTATGGTGAAGATTCCCACCCCTCCACCTTAACCTACACATCACCATCGCGTAGTACCTCCAGACCTCCACTATGTATCTGTTAATGAGGGATAGGTAAATCCAACCTTTCTAGCACTAACATTCTGTGAATTGTGGGTCTGACTCACTGCACTATCCTTTCTGTTGTAAAGGAAGGAGCCAGGCCCTCTCATCTTCCTTGTGTTCGAACAGCATGGGCCTCGCGTTCTTCTTTCTTAGCTCAGGTCTCAGGTGCTTTCTTTGATAACAAGATGATCAGCACCCACTGGCTGTACTTTACGCATCCCACATTTTTGATTTAGTAATGTACTGTAAATTCAAATTTCTGAAATAAAAGACTTTGTGAAGTTAATTATCAGAAAGAATTAAGATGGATATCTCTCTGCTTACTCACAAGATTTAACTTAAAATGGTGTTAATTATGGATCATCTTTTAAATAGTGTTAGCTGACTCTTATACACAAATTATTTCACACAAATGTAAATCAAGGAATGCTTTACTAAGTTTTTGAGGACAGAGACAAACTATTAGTTCTGAAGTCCTTGTATCAAATGACTTGGGAGGAACTGGCATAAACTCAGCTAAGCATGGACATTTCAGGACCCATTTACACAGGATAATAGCTGTCACATAATTCTCACTTCCACTCATCCTTGTTTTTGTGAACACACATTTGGTGAGGATAAAGACATTTCCCATGTGGCACTGTGACTTGTCCTTTAGAGCTAGGTGACCTTGCCACTCCATTCTGGTAGAAATTCAACAGGACTGACACAAGCTGAAGCCTATGTCAGTGTGACGGCTTCCAAATGATTCAGGAGCACAGAAGAAAGAATCCACATCAGTGTGAAGATCCTAATTTGGAGAATTGTAGTAAAAATATAAGTATAACCCATAGATATAAATCTCACAATAGCTTATGCTTTATGAAGAGACTTAAAACATTTCAATCTGTATATTATCTTCTAATTGTAGAGCCTGATGTCCTTTTTGGAATCATTCAATGAAGGAAAAAAACCCTTCTTGGACGTCCTGTCAATAAAAGGGGATCTGGATGAGCTGAATGAAGATCAGTTACAATTGAGAGAAGCCTGGAATGACCTCAGTGCCAAGGTTACTATGTTATGTTGACTAAAAGAACATTTCCCATAGGGCAGCATTGTTTTGTTGGAAAGGATGTTAAACTTCCAAGAGGAATTCTCTAAAAGATAGGGTGTATACTTCATCAGAAAGTTGGGATCATATTATTCTAACTGTATTTTACTCATGATCTTATGTGAATAGTGGTTGATGCTATGTAGGAATGTATAGTATTCTTTTCAGTGAAACCTCAGGCTTATCCAGAGTTTTTATATTTGCTATCCATTCTTGGTTTGCCACAGTAGATCATCCAAATTCTGAGTGATCTGCAGTCTCTTCTCTATCAGGTGTCATTGATAATGAGATGCTCAAAGAGAGTGGGGACAATCTTAGAGTGTGTACGATGCATGTGTGTCTGAATATATCTGTATGACTTCAGTTGCTTTAAGCTGATTTAAAACCACAGGGTATGGTGTATATTGACACTGAAGCTGTTTGTATATGACAACATGTATTCTGTAATTTTAGGGCATAGTATTCTATCAGTATCAGTTAAGACAAGGTATTGATGGTGGCCTTGACTTTTTTTTCAGTTGCTCTACCAACTGCTGAGATAAGCTGTAAAGTCTTCTGGAGTCCTCCCTTTAGTTTTGCTTCATGTACTATATATTAGGTATATAAATTTATGATGCTGTCTTCTTAATAAGTTGACACTTTGCCACTGTAAAAAACTTCTTTTTCTCTCAGGTGAAATGGTTGTTCTTGGTTTTTCTTGACTTGATGTTAATAGCAATATTCCAGACTTCTCATGCTGATTGTTTGTGTAACACATCTTTTTCCTTTTCAACCTCTTTGATTATTTAGATTATAGATACAATGCACTGAAAGTGCATCTTTTACACAGATGATTGGGCCTTGATTCTGTTCTTTTTTGTTTTTTAAAGATTTATTTATTTATGCATACAGAGCTGGGGTACAGGGCAGAGGTGTGGTGGGTGAGAGGATTCACCAGAGATGGAGTGGGGAGCAGAACAGGCAGACTGACAAAAGTACACTGTTGAGGGAAGCAGTGGGTGGGTCAGAAGAGGTCTGCCATGTCATGTGGGCCAGCTCCCTCGCCTGGGATCAAACTTGTGCTGCAGAGGCTTCCAAGAGCTTCATAATGTGGTGCTTTAACCCATTGAACCAGGGAGAGCCTTCTGTTCTTTTTTTAAATAGAGGTAACATTGTTTTGAAACTACTGTACTTCAGGAGTACAGGTTCATACTTCTTCAAATATGTTACCACACCCTATCTACCACCAAAGTACATACAACTCTACCACTCTACCACAGTTCACTGTATATGCTTCTGCTTTTTTTTTTTTTTAAGATTTATTTATGCACATGGAACTGGGGTACAGGCCAGAGATGCAGAGGGTGAGAGAATTCTCCAGGGACAGAGTGGGGAGCAGAACAGGCAGTTCAACGAAGTACACTGTGAGGGAGCAGTGGGCGGGCCAGGAGAGGTCTGCCACGCCATGTGGTCACCTCCGGGGCAGGCGGGGATCGAACTCATGCGGAAGTGGCTTAAGTTTCTTAGTGCTGTGCTTTAACCCACTGTGCCACCAGGGAGGGCCTTTATATATATATATATATTTGAGGAAAGGGTAGAGTGCTTGGTCTCTTAAGATGTTTAATGTAATTATTGATATGTTCAGTTGAGGTATACCATTTTATTTTCTGTTACTTATTCCCTTTGTTTTTGTTTTTCTTTCTTGTTTACTGCATTATTTTAAGTTATATCTTTTTTAAAATTTCATTTTAATTTACATATTTGGCTCTACCATTTTCTATCACTTTTTTTGTGGGATTACAGTGTATATGCTAAAACTTTCTTTTAGTTTGCTTAGAGTCATATGCCTTCGAGGTTATAGTACAACTTCTTGTAGCAAGTACAAGTCTTGTAATTGGTTCATCTACCTCTCACTTTTATGCCATAGTTTTGTTAATATCTGTATATATGACACAAATATGTGTTTTAAAGTTTCCAAGACCACATTTTATTTTTTGCTATAGTCATCTATTTTAAAGAAATTAAAGGAAAATCAGTTTTTCATTATTCAGATTTTTACCCTTTCTCATAAACTTAATTCCTTTCTAGAGATTCGAGTTTCCACCTAAACTCATTTCCCTTCAGCCTGAAAAGTTTCCTTTAGCTTATAATGTAGGTCTCTGTGTGACAAATTTTTGGTTTTCTTCTTTTAATCTCCAGAAGTCTTTATGTTGCCTTCTTTTAAAAACATCTTTATTGAGGTAGGACTTACATGCTATCGAACCCACTAGTTTGGAATGGATAATTCAATTATATTTTGTGAATTTGTAGCTAGCAACAGAGACTGTGTGCCAATGAGGCCAGTGTGGTCAGTGACGCCAGCGTGGCCAGTGAGTCCAGTGCACTCTGGTTCTGGAGTGGTTTGCCCATCCTTGCTCAAGGCTTCAGCCTTTGGGAGCTGCAGCCTGTAGCAGTCAAAGGACTTACGAGAACCACCATTCAGAGTAGCTTATTCTGCCGACTGGTGCGGCTGCAGAAATCCTCCATCAGTGGCAGTGCTCACTGCTTTCTCAGCTGTGTTTGCTTCGTGGCTCTGAAACAGCCCTGTGAAGGGCGAGGGCTGATTGTTCTAAGTTCCCCTCATACTACATGGAGAAGAAGAAGACATTGTGCATATAGTTTAGGCTGTTCTAGGCCACAGAGAACTGGCCTAATTTTGCTGAATAGATTTGGAAAAATTACCCCAAGTAATGAAAATAGAACCATAAAAAGAACTATTTTTTTTAAGGTTAGGTACTGCAAATTGTTAGTAGTTTGAAAAACCTGTTCCTTAGGTAAAACATAGCTCATTTTTTTGTGTGACAAAGTGAGACACACATGATTTTAAAGTCATGAGGATTATACAATTTGATACTTTCTAGACATTTCTGGTTCAGTTCTTTCAGAGATCAGCTACCTGAAGCATCATAGTAATTGATTTTATTTTAAGCTTGTTATAGGAAATAGTAATGAGATGTTCTTTTTTTTTCCAAAAAAAAGGGCATAAGTGCCTTGACATAAAGATAAACATAAATTACATCATCAATTAAGAGTGATGGAGGCAAGAGGAAAGAATGAAGAAGACAGGAAAATATTAATTTCACATGATTTATTTTGACCTCACAAAGTTTTATATAAGAATGCAGCCAAATTCTAATGTATTTTCTGACAGTGAGAAAGTGTGAAACTGATTTTCTATGTTAGGTGAGGAAAGAGATGAATGGAGATATCTGTCTTTCCTCTCTGACTACTGCACAGACCCAGTCAGACAGAACATGGTGATTTCACTAAAAGAAAAAAAGTGTTACCCCACTAGAAAAAAAAATAGTATGAGACACTAAAAGTACATAGCTTTCTTTTAGTAGTTAAAAGAAGGCAGAATCAGAAATGTTGTTCTTAGCCTTTCTTTCTTTACTTTTTTTTTAAAGATTTATTTTATGCATACAGAACTGGGGTACAGGTCAGGGGTACAGGGGCAGTGAGAGGATTCACCAGAGACATAGTGGGGAGTAGGGCAGGCAGATCGACAAGGTCCACTGCTGAGGTGGGTCAGGAGAGGTCTGCCACACCATGTGCATCACCTCCGGGGTGGGGATTGAACTCATGCAGAAGTGGCTTTAGCTTCTTAGTGCTGTGCTTTAACCTGCTGCACCACCACAGAGGGTCCCTTAGCCTTTCTTTAATTCAATCTTTGATCAATTTTCTGGTTTATATTTTGGCAAATGCACAGATAATTAGGATATAATAAGAGCACATGCTAACTTGTTTATCTTAAAATTTGTAATAAACGATGTTTGCCTTCTCTTTTTCAACTGGAAGCCTAAAGACATATAGCTAATGATTTTTTTTGAGAAAAGTATAAAGCGACTAAAAAACAAAAATACCTCACAGTACTACTTAAATGTGGAGTCGAAAAAAAACCAAACTCATAGAAACTAGTAAAGTGACTGACAGGACAAAAGGTGTGAGGAAGTAGAGAGAGGTTGGTGAAGGGGCCTAGCTTTCAGTTATATAGGATGAATGAGGTCTGAAGACGTAGTGTAAACTATGTTGACTACAATGTCTGCCTCCATGCTGAGAGTAGAACTTAAATGTTCTCAACAAAATATATATATATTTTTAAAGATTTATTTATTTGTGCATACAGAACTGGGGTACAGGCCAGACACTCAGGGGCAGTGAGAGGCTTCACCAGAGACAGAGTG